GGTCCTGACGTGCGAGTTTTTGGTTGTGGATGCAGGCACAGTGTTCTTTGATGGCTCCATTTTGTAAGTGCATTGTTAGGCGTCTTGATATATATAAACATTTTATATATATATAAACATTTTAAAAGAACCAAAAATCATAAATTACTATATTAATATCACATAATTCCACTATAATTTATCAAGTTTAGTAACTACGCTGAATTTGGGTCTGAAAAATATGAAATGTCGAACTCGTTAACGTCTTACCTTACGACTTGGAATCTAACATAAAAAGAAAGAGTTTGCTGTGAAGATATTTCACAGAGGCTGAGAAAACCACCAGGGGGACATTCTGAGCTTTCAATTGGTTAGACACGCGTCACTGGGCAATAGATATAATAATATCTCAAGAAGTAGAAGAAATAGAAAGTTCTTGTCATATATTCTACCTTGTTTATATCAGTAATTTGAGTTTCTAATTCGTATGAAAGTATAAACTTTGTATTTGGACATATGAAACATCTGATTTGAACCAGTGCGGGAAAATTTTAAATGTGAGTCTTCAAACGCATTGACATGCTCTTTGACCCCGGACCATATGATGACCCATAGTGATAGGGTTAATCCGTTATTCCACTCTTCTGCATCTCTGACGGAATGCTTATTTTCCAGTTATTAATTTCCATAGCACAATAAATAACACAAAAGAAATAATATTTTCTTGATTTTAATATTGAATTGTAATCTTCTACTTATAAAGTATTGAAAAGTGAGAATAACAACTGTGCTATTATATCCTTACAAGTGTTATTATTTATTACCTATTCTAGTTATACAAAATCCCAAAGTGACAAAGGCTTTGAACCAAATGATAAGCATGGGGTTTTCAAACGATGGTGGATGGCTCACGAGACTACTGGAAGCTAAAAATGGGGATATCAGTGCCGTTCTGGATGCTCTACAACCTTCCCGAGCTAACTAGTGTGTGGGAGACTACTTTAATGCCGAATTAATAGCACTAATTAGGGCTATTGTTGTTTTGTTTAATTTACTTATAATAGAGGCATGCTTGTAGTTTTAAAAAATGCATTCTCCATGCAAAAATTATTAACGTGATCCTATATATATTATAATATATTATTCATATATTCCTGTTGGATTCATAGCTTTGATGTTGACAAAGTGAGTCAAAAAATGGAAAACTCTAAATAATTACAAGAAAGTGACAACAGTAACCATTTTATTATTAAGATTTTCTTCCAAAATTTGTTTTTCTGAAGCCTTAACATTTATTGTTGTTACACTTCTGATTCATTTACAAACTATAATTATGTTATTTTAATCTAAATGACTGATTTCTTTAATCTCAATATTACATTTGTTACATGTTTTTTCATGGAATATATTAAAATATGAGTAAACCATACTTTTGTTTTATTAAGTATTTTTTTAAACTCTTAATTGTGTCTTTTAATTTTCTTATTAGAAGCACTAATATTATTCAG